CTGTAAAATAAGTGTCCAGGGGGTAGTAGAATGATATCGCAACATTGTTTTCTGCTCACTTACAATCTGTCTCCTTCCTCTTATTTAATTTTAGCTCCGTTTTCTGCTTCCCTCCATCTCCGCCTCCCAGCCCTGGCCCTAGATGTTTCGTCTCTGGGACAATGCACCCAAAGGGTACTGACTCCAGAGTGACTGTCAGATTTCTCAGATGTTCATAATCAGTCAATAAACATGTTTGGAGCAAGCACAATGCACAAAGTCCGGCGCTTATTACAGATTTATGGCTTGTGGAGGAATCCATGTCCTCAAGCAGCTTCTAAACTAGGTTGAGGAGCAGATCATGAGAATCATAGAAGGCAGTGTGGGAAGAACACCAGGACACTGATCTCACTAACCTGGGATCTGAGGATGGGCTTCAGAGGCATCCCTCAACACCCTGAAACTGCTCGTATCATTTCATGTTTGCCAGTACACGTTTTGGGGGTAAGTTTATAGCTTTCACCAGCTTCATCCCAAGAGGTGAAGAACTTCGCGTACAGTCAGACTTTGCAGAAGAGTGCTCATGATAACTTAGATCATCGTTATAACAAGGTTTCGTTGAGCCAATGAGACCTGAACTGAATCTTAGAAAATATATTCAGAGAATAGCGGGGTGGGAGGCAGCCCTGAAGGAAGGGGTCCCCAGGGAGCAACATGGGAAGACTGTCGCACTTAGGACCGGTGACCGTAAGTTGTCTCACGTCCCTCAGTCTCAGAAAAATGCAGATCTGTAAAATGGTGACCATTGCTGCTTCCCGGAGTTTTGTGGACCTTGAGCTATTTTTTCCTTTCTTTCTCACTTTGTATTCCCATCCCTCCGCACGGGGCTTGACTCATATCACAGTGGACACTAATCCATATTTGATGAATGTGTGAGTGAACCGAAATCATAAACGTGAGAGGGCTTGGTAAACAGCAGAGCATTGCTTCAGCTAAAGATCTTTGTTGCTAAGTACATATACTTTGTGCTCTTTGCAAGCAGCCTGCGCTAAGTGTCTTCTCCCCCTTGAAACTGACCCTTTCCCCCGTAATGGGGCTCAAAGGGCCAGCCCATCTGATGGAGTGTCTCTAGGCTGGCCAGATGAATGATAGCGGTGCCGATCACGCTGACAAGATGTGCAGTTGCCTAAGAGCCCAGAGGTGACCTCACTCTCCAAGGGCTTAGCCTCTAACCCCAGCCCCTGCTGGCACAAGCACACACCTGCAGCCCTTTTCTCCCTCCAAGACGAGGAGACCTCGTGAGCTCCTTTGCTGCCCTCATCTGCACTGGCAGGGGTGGAAGGATGGACAGGAAGGGGGGCATTGCTGGGACTCCCTCTAGCACTGTAAGCAGGACCACTGATGGCGTGCTCTCTGTGACCTCTCAGGACTGTCGAAATGACCAAATGCTCCTTTGCTGAGCACTTTTTGTATCCCCAGCCTCCTACTCACAGCTTCCTCGCAGTACCCGTGCTAAGAGAGAACAGATTAGATCTTATGTCAATTTTTCTTTTCTCCTGTGTGCCATCCAACAGACAGGATGACTCGTCGGCGTTTACCAGGATACTCCAAGAAACTTGGGCTGGTTGGGTGTGGGAAAGATTTTTAAAAGGCCGAGGTCGAAGGTGACAGGAGTTCTCAGAACAAGTTAGGAAAGATAGAGGTGATTTCTCCCTATAACAGTTCTCCAGTTCTCCAGCTGCAGCTCCAGATGCAGCTGATAGAATGATCTCCAAGATGAGAGTTAGGAGCTTGTGTTCCAGATCTGTCACTTAGAGACTTTGAACAAGCCACTGAATCTCTCTGAGCTTCCAGCTCCTCTCCCATAAATTGGAGTGGTACCCATCTTGCCTTTCAGGATCATTGTGATAGTCAACATTTATGATGACGCTTCAAGTGGTATAAAGTTGTACATATTTGTTATTATTAACATATACACGAGCATTACCCCTTATGTGCAGAGCTCTCACTATATGCTATTTATCTAATGCAAGCCCCATAACACCCCTATAAGATTGTATTGTTTTTCCATTTTTATGGATGAGGAAGCAGAGGCTCAGAAAGGTAAAGGGCTTGCCCAGAGCTACACGCATACAAGTAATATGTGTTAGAGCCTGTGTTTCTGTTTCCATTCTCCACTATAACACTAGCTCATGATCCTTTTCTCCTGTATACTGTCACTCTGTCCCTTACAATATTACATACTCCTCTGGCCTTTACCCTCTCTCATGGACCGGGCCTCTTACCTGCACGCTTCTTGCTATAACATCTTGCTGGATTGTTTTGTTTCCTTCCTGCTTTGGCTTCTGATACACCTCTTGGCCCTGCTGTCAGCTTACCTGCCCTGACCTCTAAACACAGTACGTACAATCCTTGACTGAGCGCCTTTCTAGAGGCGGGCACCCTGCTCCTGTGAAGTGAGATCATTCTCTTCCCTTCCCCAGGCTCCGGGATGTCTCTGTCCATTAAAAAAAAAAAAAAAATTGCCACCCCGGCCCTGAGCGCACAGGGTGGAGGAGTGCCCACGTTTTATTGTTGATATCCTCTTCTGGAAATTACTGAGCATAGGCTTCCCGGGCAGACCCCAGGCAGACCAGGAACGCTGGTGCTGTAGCTCTTGATCTTGTCAACTAAGAGCGGGGCGGCGCTAGAGGAGAGCTCAGACTCCCGGCAGGAACCTCACTCGACCGCCTCCCTCCTTTGAGACAGGGCAAAGATTTACTAGCTCTACCCCAGAGGTGGAAAAAAGAGATGGAGGGACTTGCCTCACATCACTTAGTGAGTGGGCACTGGAATCAACAGTCCACTGTGTGTCTTCAGTCCTTGTGTGTCCTTGGGGACTGGGCACCTTTGAGTCGGGCTGATGCCGGTTGAGTGCGGGCTCCAGGGCAACGCTAGCACAGCCCAGGCCCTTAGAGGGCTGACACTCAGAGCACCTCTCCCCCACTGCCCAGCGCCTGGCTCCCCAGACCCACCGCCTGACCCTACCTGATGGAGGGAGAAGGTGGTATAGGGCAGCTCCCCGTCCCTGAGTCCCACCTGACAGGCTGATCCCCAGCAACCCACTCCCAAGGTGGGCCTCTTCTTGCGGAGATGCATTTGTAGACGCTGCCCATTACCCCGGCACCAGGAAGCTACCCTCCAGTTAGGCAAGAGATAAATCAAAGCCAAACTTGGCTGATGACATCCAGGAACCAGGAGTGACCCTTGCCACACATAGAAATCCCAGCGGGCTGGCCAAGGGCCTTTGTCTGGTCAGGAGAGCTCAGGATTATCTGGCCCTCTTTGCTGATGTATGGAATCACCGACTGTCGGAGTGTTTACGAACGGTTATCACCTCAGTGCTTTGGCCATTATCAGAGGCAGGGCCGCCTGCCGGGGCTGGGGCTCGCACCCTCTCTATTACCACCTGTCATTGGCAGAGAGTGTGCCCTGACGCTGCTCAGTCCTGACTGCCGAGGGAAGATAGTTTCTGACGGCTGATCAAAGAGGAGAAGCAAGACCTGATAAAAAGAGTGTGTGGTGGTGTACTTTTAACTTTGGGAAACATTGGCATTTGCATTTTTTTCCCCATCTTCCTGGTGCTGGCAGGAACCAAGCCCAATAAATGCAGTGGATTCAGTTACCTAATCACTAGGGAAACGGTATGTGCTTGAAGCAACAGAGCATGACTATAATCTCCTTCCAAGAGAGAGTGGATGAAATAAGCTTTCACAGAAGACTTGCTGTATAATAAAGGAGAGGAACTTAAATTTAGCCTTTGAAGTGATCTTGCATGTAAAATCTAACCTTGGCATTCAGCAGAGCACCGTGTACTTTTTGGAATTGGGAAGCAGCTTCAGATCGAGGAAGGGTCTTTGCTGAAGACGCTATCACCCAAGTCTCGTGCTGCCATCCTGCAAATGGTGCCCCAGTGGTGCACATGTCCTGGGGCAGCTGGGGGACTGTATGTGGTGGAGCAGAATGAGTTCTAGCCTGAGCCATCGGAAGATCTGAGTTCTTGAACCAAGCCTGCCACAAACTTGCCGTTGGATCTTGGGACATAACCTTTCTGAGGACATTTGGTATAGGTGATAGGGTATAGTGACTTAGAATGCTTTTTAAAAAAAAAAAAATGTAAGCTATGTAACCCGTTTTAAAAATGAATCTTTAGGGCTTCCCTGGTGGCGCAGTGGTTGAGGGTCCGCCTGCCGATGCAGGGGACACGGGTTCGTGCCCCGGTCCGGGAAGAT